TAAACCAACTAACACACCAATAATACTCTAAAAACTAACTTGGACAGCCCTTCTGAACAAAAACGTAAAGTCTGTAAGCTGCACTTCTGACGGTTGTAACAAAATGAAGAACAAGAATTATAATCGACTCTAGTGGCAGCAGAATTCCTCATCCGTAGCTGCGCATGGATGTCAGAGGTTTCCAACGCCCCCACGTGATTGATAGAACAGAATGGAATGAAATCCCTTTCTTTAAACAGCACTGGAAAGGAAGATAGTCATAAAAATAAAAAATTATCGCAAAAAAATTCAAGGAAATAAAAGCTAATTTACATTTTTGGTCAAAACTTGTCCATTTGTCATTCTGCGTAGAACATGACGCCATAACTTCCCCACCATCGTCGATTGTTATCGTTTCAGGCCCTTTGAAATCCGATGCCTTCACCGTCTCTTCCTCTACGGAAGAGCTTTTTGAGACTTCGTTAGGAGTTATGTTCAATGTTTCCTCTAACCGCCGACAATCAGCAGGATTCTCAAACTCATTCTAAAAAAACTTAAACTCTTCCCTCCAAAAAATTAAAAATTAAAAATTGAACCACTTCATGAAACTCTCGAGATGCATCAAAAATACCGCTAAAAACAGTCCATACACATCTAGAAAGTCTTGACCGCTTCCTAAGTTCCCATTAAAATAAATCCACGCGCCCATACTGCTTCAACAGTGTAATAGCGCATTAAAACTACAGATCACACAGTACAGTAACCAAAACTGTTTACCCAACTGACCGACTAGTCCGACTAGTGAAAGGCTTCGCTTTACGCGCTTTTCGCAGTTTTAACAAGTTCATTTTACTTGAAACTTTTAAGACTAGTCCGTCGGTTCCAGCTCCAATTTTATATTAAATTACAGCGACTAAACTACTATACCACATAACTGTTTTTAATAATTTCAAGAAACGAGCATTTCTGTAACCTACTTCCAAAATAAGCAGGTTATGTTTTTATCTCTAGGAAAATAAAAATGAAGTACTACTTATAACATGAGACAATATTTTTATAAGAGTGACTGAAGCCCCCAGCAGCTCAAAACCACCATCTTCAACAGTAAGTCATAAAAAACATTCTATGTCCAGGTACACATTTCAAGAATTGTTAAACTATTTACTAAATGATTTTTTTTGTATTAGACCTAAGTGTCAAATTTACTAGTTCCGGCACTCGCAAATTTAAATGAGTACCTCACCGTTCTGAACAACCTCAGATTTGATTCGTGTCAAGTAAAATAACCAGTAATGAAACGCTTATTTTACATAATCATACAACTGGAAGTTATAGACATATTGACCATTCCACATTCACATAAATCTCATATTTAAAGACGCTTCAGATACATTTCAGATTTTTAAATTATAAGTCCCAACTTCACATTTGTTACTACGCAGACCCCTCTCTCTTCCCTTTCCTTGAAATAATCTAAAAATGCCAAGAATTTGTCCCTTGTGCACATAAATGACCTACACCAGAAAACGATAAAATCGACTGCCCTTTAAAAAACCAAATAAGGTTATTTTTTTTTGATAAAACGTTTTGAACTTTTAGAAATATTTTTTCATTTGTTTTGTTAAAAAATTATGAGAAACACAAACACTCCGTTTAGCTACAAGACGATAGCTCTTTAAATGAATTAAGACAGGAAGTGAGTAAACAGGTTGTTGCGGAGCAAAAAGGAATTACTAAAACCATAGAGAAACAGTCCACTTCAAATTCCGAGCTTTTAGCAGTGTCATTCCGTACAATGGACGATGCCTCCATAACGTAATAAATTAAGATCAAAAGTTCAATTTTTTTGAACCATAGAGACTGAAAGAAGCCGGCCAGAAGCGGTTACGATCAATTCGTCATGTATCGTGTTTGAAAATCTACCTACCCATCGTAGACAAAACTAAATTTTTAACCGAACTATAAGGAATTAATTCCATACCAAGTGCGTTCCCGAAGAAAAAAAAACCAGGAAACATTAATTTTGAAACCTGACTAAAAAAACGTCGCATTTTGAGAAATTTTTAAACATCAGCACATAAAAAGGCAAGAAACACAAAAATCTTGACGGAAGAAGTTGTGTTTAAAAAACTTATTCTATTTAAAAATAAATTCTTCAGTTGCTTAATTAAAAAAACCCTTTCATCCACACCCCGCTGAGTTTCTCGGAAGCGAGCAGTGATGTTCTAAATCTTCCAAAACTAAACCTTCTTCTCTTTCAACGATTCTTTTGAGCTAATCAAGCTCAGGGCACAGTATAATGACGATATCGCATTATATGAGAATCTAGTATTGCTAAAAGGAGAAGAAAACTGAACTTTATGATACCTTTACAAATTGCTTTTGAAAAAATTTTAACACTGACCAATGTCAACACTACCCTAATCTGATCACGTTCCTATAAAAGCTTCAACAAATAGATCTTCGCTTTTCGATGAGGAAAGACTGATTAGTAGGTAGCCTACATCCTTCTGGTAGCCCAGCAATACTTTAATGAATTACCTAATTTTTATTTTGAAAAAGCAGCATAAACAGAAATAGATCAAAATTACTTAATATACTATACCTTTATCCCTTCCTTTTTCACGAAACACGAACCAGAAATAACGGACTGACACGAATCTAGAAATAAAAATAATTATTTCAGCACTTGCTTTAAATAACAAAAAACACAGTTTGTCTAAATAACAGAACTGCCAGAAGAGTCTTTAAAACGCTCAGCCAAATTATAGTGCCTAAGACCGTATCTACGGTGAAGCAACAAACACGCGCATGAAGAGTACACAAAATAAGACGGAAGTAACTGCTAATTGATAGTTAGTGGCAAAAAGCTAAGGAAGATTGGTAGCAAATTATGCCTACCGATTATAATTAGACAAATATTGTTTCTTCTAATTTCACTGACCAGGATTGAAATTTTTATACCGAGCTTTTCCGCGTTTCCTCGGCTTCCCACGTTTCGTATTTGTTTTTCCAACAATAACATCGCTTTCTTCAACCACAGCGCCAGAGCACCTTTCCTGTAACTGAAGCGAAAGGTTCTCAAATGATTAAACTACACGCAAATTTTCATGACCACAAAAGTAATAAACTGTGATTAAGGTAGGAGATAAATGCATCATTTTTATGGTTTCTTTCAACCATTCCCAATGCTTGAAAACTTGCAAAGACACTGAACTTGCGCAAAAGCCCTCCAAAAACCAGTTTTCATATAGCTCATAATAAACCAATATACGGATTTAAAAAGGTATATTTTATACTAAACAAAACCTAACTTCATCAGTTTTTTTTT